AATATTTCTTTGATAATTTAGACTAAATTTTAAGAATATATTAAAAAACCAAAAACCAAAAATTTTCGTAATATAAAAAAAATAAGATATTAGATTAAAATAAGGTTATAAAGAAGATTATAAACAAGAAAACTTTTAATTTGCTAATAAAAGTTTAAAAGAAAGATTAAGGTACATCTTGTCTTCTTTTTCTATTTCTACTATGACATTTGAGATCTATAAAAGCTTCTAGAAGAGATTTTAAGTACTATATAATGACTCATAAATATAAATAATGTCTTATAAAAGTTTTAAAAGATTAAAAAATACCTTGGATGGCTAAAAATAGTTTTTAAGTTTTTTTTAAGAAACTTCTTTATAACTGCTAATGAACTTAAAGCATTTAAGTTGTTTCAAAGATTTACAAAAAATAACATGTATATTTATAAGATTCTTAAAGATTTGAGAATATTTAAGAGGATACTTTTAGTTGTAGTTTGTTATATATTTATATTATTAAAATAAATTTATAATATATAATCTTATATATTTTTAATAAATTATTATAAATTTATATTATTATTCTTGGTATCTTCTTACTTTCTTAGTGTCAAAAACTTTATTTAAAAGAAAAGGTGCAATATACTCTCTGTCACATGATATAGCATCAAAAGTCAAATCTTACTGGAAGATGATCATCTAATCTTTTGATGATCTTACAAGCTTAGAATGTTTTAGAAAGCTATTATCTAAGCTCATTATCAAGAGCTATTTGTTGTAAGCTTGATTGAACTTTTCAATGGCAAGTATGCTTGTACTATAGTTATGCCTTTAAAAAATGATGCTTATGGCAATTAGACAAAGAAGCAAATGTATAGAAACTACTATCTAGTTAATTATAAGATCAAGTTTAATTAGTATCAAATACCAATGCCAAAAGAATTATTTGATGTAGTAGAATTCTTCGAAGTATTTAGTATTTTGGATTTAAGATATGGCTTTCATTAATTACTATTACTTCTTCAAGACTATGTGAAGGTAATATTTTAGAAAATTGATTAAAATAGCAAAGATCAACTTTATTACTAGAAGTTTTTTTTTTTTTTTGGCCTCAAGAATACACTAGCTGAGTTTCAAAGACTGATGGACTAGGTGTTATGTGGCATGTCATTTGATAGATGCTACATTGATAATATTATTTGTAGTAGCATCCAACAAAATTATCAAAGATATTTACAAGCAATATTTGAGTAATTATGGCAATAAGAATTATGCTTGCATTATGGCAAGTATAAATTCTTCCACCAACGGTTATCATACTTAAGTCACATGCTTATTCTACAAGGTTTGTGTATGTAATAAGCAAAGATAAAAGCCTTGAAGAAAATCTTGGCATTAAATGATGTTTCACAATTTTAGAGTTTTTTTGAAATGACAAATTACTACTAAAGATTTATTAATTACTTAAGCTTGATTGCCAAGCTTTAATTTATTATTATGTGTAATTATCAACTATAGACTTAGAATTATGAGAAATAATATGTATTTGATATATTGAAGTAAAAATTTGGTTTTCAATTCTAATGCTTTGATATTCAGATGCTATTAGACCTTTTCAATTATATACGGATTAAAATGCAGTAGAAGTGGAACCAATCTTGATATAGAAGAATGATATAGGATAAGAATATATTGTTCCATTTGCTTTTAGAAGCAACAATTTAGAATACAATCACTTATTTTATGAAAGAAAAGCTTTGGTAGCAGTTTGGATCATTGCTTGCTTTAAACATTATTTATACGGACAATAATTTATATTGATAACTAACTATCAACTTTTGAAGTGGCTTATGGAATTAGATAAGCTTAATGACAAACTTGCTAGATGGACATTGTTGTCTCAAGAATATGACTTTGAGGTTGTATATTTGATACACATTATTAATTTAGATGCTAAAGAATTTTTTTAAAATTCAAGTACTTTGGAAGAGGACTTAATTAGAACTTGATTGCATAAGAATTGCAATATAGAGACAATTCTTAAATGGCATGAATCTATATACTTGGCTTTGATATCATATTCAATAATTATGGTTCTCAGTCAAAGTTTAGATAAGAAATTGGATAGGAACAAAGTGATTAGTAATATGTAGGAGGATCTTAGAGTCTTACACAAGCTTTAGCAAAAAAAAATTCCTTCAATTATATATAATATACAAAGATATATGATTAATTATCATATAACAAGTTTTTGTTGTGAAAACAATTTGTTATTTTATATATGGCATGATAGAGCTATTATCACTGACATACATATTTATCATGATAATTATCTAGATAATAAAAATAAGTAGAAGTAAGTCAAAGTAAGTAAATATGATGATATCTTATAGAAAGCTTCCTAGAAGCTTCATACATGCTGTTTTGCCTTTATACATATCTATAGGTATTTGGTAGGTTGAAAACTTGGCCAATAAAGAGGCCACGTTTTGACAGATTGACCACTTGTAGTACAAGTTGGACATATGGTGCACACCTAGGAAACTTGCCTTGCAAATTAGATATGTGTCTAGCAAGCTAGACGCGTATTAGAGATCTTATAGCATATCGCCACATATTTCTTAATTAAGTAGGATATATATAGAAGCAAGAGTGAGGCCTTCCTCACTCTTATCAACTCCTTTCTTGCTTTTAGTCTAGTTTCAAGAGTCTTATGTTTTCTAATCTTTAGCAATAGCCATTTCAGTTCTTCCTTGAATATACATACTTTCTTTTATTTTATCACTTTTTTTTTTATATACAAATTTGACGAGTTTATGTATCTTCTTCTAGTTTGTGTCCTTGACAACTATATATATAGTTTCGAGGCCAAATCAAAAAGATTTTTTATTATGGGAAATACATGAGAAGCTTGGATATTTTGAAGTACACATAATATATTCTATATTGTGCAATCAATATTAGTTGAGTAGTATATATCAATAGGTGGCCATATATATTTTTTGGTGTGAAGTGCATAAGTGGATTAGATAAAGCATTCATACCTTATTACTTTAATTGAAGCCTTTATTCATTATGATTTTGGATTACTATTAGTCTTTGGACTTTGTAGGGCTGCTTATTCTCACCTCACATGTAACTAAATATATATCAGTGATGATAGAACATTTTAGCAAGAGAATTGAATTTGTGGCTTGATTACAAAACTCTTCAAAATTGGTAGCTTTGGCTTTCTTTGATTATATTCTAATATATTTTGGAGCACTTATTAAAATCTTAGTAGATCAAAAAAAAGATTTTCTTGAAGCATTTGAGGCTTTATTTATTAAAGCTTTGAAAGATCATTTTACCACATATACAAATTATTGTAAGTCAGATAGCTTAGCTCAATGCATAGTCTAGATTGTTAATTGTGATTTATAGAAGTCTGGATTATTTCATAGAAACCATTGTGATTGAGACTTGATTTTGCTATAGATTATAATAGGTTATTACTTTAGTAAGTAAACATCTTCAGCATCTTATGGTCCTTACCAATTGATGTATAGATAAGAGCTAATCCTACCAAATTTAGTATGTAAGAATCTAATTCCAATTGTGGACTTAATTGATCTTAACATTTGGATTCAATATCTACATGATCAAGTAGAGTTTTTAATATTAAGGTAAGGTGCATAATTCTATATATAAAGGATGTATTACCAAATGGTATTTTGTTGCTTGAAAGCAAAAATGGACAAAAGTATTGAGAGCATTCAAAAAATTGTGTTCCTTAATATCTTCTTATTGATGATTTTGTACATCTTAAATTGACAATTGTGTCAATCAATCTTCTTTGTTTTTATGTGGTGAAAAGAAAGGGGTTGCTACTATGTTTTTGTGTAATTAATGCCAATGTAGGTAGAATATGATATGCTTGACACCACGTCTTTTAACTCTCTTTATAAGAGATTGGATTTATTCTTGTTGTAAGAAGACTTTCAGCCATGTTTCATATATTGATAAAGATTGAAGTTTTTTTCTCTTAAATCTATTACTAATTTTAGTGATGTAGCTATAACAAATACTAGCTTGAATAAGTAGAGTTCTATAGCAACATCATTGTGGCATTTATCTTTGATTATATATATTTTGTAGTCATAGTTGAGTAGAGGGGCTCTTAATCTGCTATGAAAGATACTTGACAAGTATTGGTTGTATAGTTGTATTTGATTTAGATTACATACATTGTGATTGATTTATAGCACTCAATGGGTTGTATGTAGCAATCTTTGTATACATGATACCTTTTTTAATGTATATATATATATATATATATATATATATATATCTATATATATTCATTTTATTTTCTTTAATATATGCACAAATGGAAGTTTTAGATTTAAGATTTATAAAAAAATTCAAAAAAAAAAATGGATTTTGACATCTCATTAAAATAAAAGATTTAATTTGTCTACGTACCAACTTTCAATGGTTATATGAAACAAATAAAATTTACATGCTTCAAAACTTTAAAAAGAGATACCATTTACACAACCAAATTACTTCATACACAAATACATCCTCACACACACACACACACACATAATTATAATTATAATAATAATATAGTATCCAATGTATTCTAAAGCATAGAGTGTCAATCCTGAGGATTGAACTTTTTGATGAGTGGGCATTGGACTTATCATAGCCGCCATACTTCATGAGATGGTTCAGTTCCCAGTCCACAGAGAGGCCCTTGCCACTCCCAAGCTCACTAGCTAACCCATCCACCAAACGAAAACAACACTCTCCTCACAATCCACGATTTCGCTTGATTCATCCATCTCGTAGATTTCATAACGTAGGGGGGTTGGGTGGGGGTGTACAAAAAATAGAAAATATCCGTAGAGGTTTGCGGCTCTTCAGGATTGGGAGATGGAATGTGGTTCGCGGAGGGTCTCTGGAATGGGGATGGTGTTTGGCGGGTTAAAGCATCTAGGTATTATTGAGATAGAGACGATGGATTTAGTGGTGGTGAAGATTTGATGAGGGTAGAGGCGCCCTAGCAGCGGCGCGTCGCTTGAGCGCACGATGCGAGGCATCCCCTTATGGAGCCTTGAGATGAGTCGTCGTAGCCTTGCGGGCTGTTGAGATTGTGAAGGGGAAATTGGGCGACGGATCCATGGTGGAGGTCACAGGAGCGGGCGACAGTGAGGCGAGAGGGCGAGTGGTTTCGAACGAGCATTTTTGAGTGCAAAACGGTGGAGTGAGGCGGGAGCAACTCTGGCGGATGTATGTAGGGGTGTGTTGTTACAGGGGGGACGTCGAAAATGGTGTCAGACGCTGAAATAGTGCGACATCTCACAGAGGTTTTGAAGAATGCGGATTTGAATACGACCACGACGACGGCAATTCGGCAGCAGCTGCAGATTGCCTTGGGAGTCGATTTGACGGACAAGAAGGCGTTTATTCGACAGCAGGTTGATGCTTATCTGCAGAAGCAGTGGCAGGAGGCGGAGGCGGTGGCGGAACCGGAGGTAGGGGCAGAGGACGGAGGAGAAGGGGACGGAGAAGGAGAAGGAGAGGGAGAGGAAGATGAAGGTAGTGAGAAGACAGGAGGTGGAGAGGACGAAGAATTGGACGTAGATGGCGATACGAAGGCCAGTAAGGGTTCCAAGGCTTGCGTCGAGCCTGATTCTAAACGCATGCGTGCCAAGATTGATCGTGCAATCAAAGCGAGGTACGAATGTTTTATTCTTTATTATCTACTTTTATGATAAATTATTCATATTTGGTTTTGTTTGGTTGTAAATATTGTATATATTAGCATCAAAAACATAATCTCAGGTACTTCGTCTAGGAGTAATGCATTCAGCCTGTCCACCTGTAGGCAACAGGATTCGTCGTTAACCTAAACCTAATGTTGTGCTTCCTATAAATCGTCACTTCGGGGCAAATTGTTTTGTGAACTTGCAACCTATTACAAAATGTGGCATCAGTTCCAGTGGCGGAGTTTTTGAAATTAGAGTTGCTTATCTTCAATGGCGTAGTGAGGACTTGGATCAAGAGATAGTACGTTAGAGAGCTTGAGAGGTATCTGAAATGGTACCCATGTACTTCTTTTCTCTGGCACAGTTTAACGAAAGAAAAGAAGAAGAGGACAGGTGGTGGAGGTGGCCTTACGAAGGCTTGTACTCTTTCTCCTGAGCTTCAAACGATTATAGGTGAATCTGAGTTGCCGAGAACGCAGGTATGCTCTTTTGTCAAACTCCGAGTATAACGCTTCTCACGTCGTGATATGTTCTGCTTAGTATTTCTTGTACGAGGATGTATGCACCGACAGTGTGTTATGTCTTTTTTTCGTTTTCTCTTTTCGTTTTACTTCCGTCTCTGCCGCGATATCTCTTCACTAGGAAATCAAATATTGACATCTTTTGGGCTCTTATAGATCGTTTTATATCTCGTTTGGCTAGGTGGTTAAGCAACTGTGGGCTTACATTCGGGAACATAACTTACAAGATCCTGAGGATAAGCGCAAAATTATCTGCGACGACGCCCTGCGAAATCTTCTTGGCACTAACTCCACTGATATGTTTAAAATGAATAAGTTGCTGTCTAGGCATATATGGCCTCTTGACAATGGGGTTACAGAGGCTGCTGGTAAGAACTGCTGTATGGCGTTCAAATGTAACCACGTGCTGGTAAAATTCTGTAATTTTCTTGTAAGTTTTCCCCATCTTCATTATCAGTACGTTCTTTTTTCTTATTTCTTTTTATCTCTTTGTGCAGCAAAAGTTAGAGATAGGGATACAGATACAGACGATGTGGAGCCTAAACCTAAGAAGCAGAAAACAGTTAGTAGTGGAGGCGGTAAGAGCAAGACTCAAGGATTCTTGGCTCCATATCCCATCTCAGATCAATTAGCTAAGTTTTTAGACGTTGAGGATGGCAAAGTCTCGAGGGCTGAAGCTGCGAAGCGCATGTGGGCTTACATTAAGGACCACAATTTGCAGGTTTCTGGCCTCGCCTGACTGGCTTTCTCGGATTGAACTCTCGAATTTCACCTCATTTATCGCTTCAAGATATATGATTTATATTTTCTCAACTTTTTTTGAAATAGTCCATCACCTCAATTATGCCGCAGATTTGCACAACACATGCAAAGTGTCTTCGAAGCTTATTTACTTTCTGATAGAGAATTATCAAGTATGTAGTTTAGAGTTTTTGTGCAAGTTTTTTTAGTTTTCATGACATGACATATACTCTGAAACATCGGTTCTTACGGTTGGTTTTTCGTTTGCAGGACCCTACCAACAAGAAAAAGATACTATGTGATCAGCCTCTTCAAGATCTACTTGATTGTGACCATTTTGTTGGATTCGATCTTAGTAAACTTTTGAAACGCCACTTTATAAAGCCGGAAGCCCAATAGCTTTCACTCTCATACTTATATGTTCAGGAACCGAAACAGCTCCTACATGGCCAAAGAGGTTGCATGCACGGGTATATGATCATAACGTCATTTGTTCAACAATCCCAGGACAGTATTTCCACGAAGTGGAGCACTTTAGTTTTCGTCCCCACGCGGGATTAGCTCTGATTTTAACTTCCAGATTTTTTTCGGTACATTGCTGCAGGCGCAGTGGTTCTTCATGAATCGCATTGGGGTAGTGTTCAAGCCCTTTTTGAGGGATAAGCTATTGAATAGAAATGCCCTGTCAAGTGAAACGTAGCTCTTGCTCCGACGACTTGAAAATATTGAGGTGTAACGCTGTGGAATATTTGTTAGTCAGTATTTTTCTGGCGTGGAACAAGTTCTCTGTCCAGAAGTTTTCTGCGACCATTTCTTCGCTGTTGAAGCACGCCACACTGCATCACTATCACTTTGCATTATTTACGGGTTACAATTGGCTCTCAGCATTTGATCGGAATTTGCAATCGAAGGGATGTGCGACTGTTCAAAGTGATAGTGGCAGAAATTGTGAGACAAATGTGATGTTCAATTTTCCACGTCGATCAATATTTCAACCAATCGAATATATCGACGCTCGCTAAACCATTTTGCTTCGATATGGAGTGATAGTTATTAGTTTTGACATTATTAACCATTGCTGATTTGCTTCTACATAGAATTGTTTGCAGGGTGACGATAGAAAGTGTATTCCAATTTTTCAAAGTGCAACTACAAGACGATGTTTACTACCAAATATGCCAATTGTACTACTAGACAGAGATTGGAATTGCGGTTCATGCACATATATACATAATTTGTAACTTTCTTACAGTGCACAAATGTCACTTCGATTGTGCAGAAGTAAGATAGATTACCGCTTACGTGAATGGTCAAATACCATGCAGCTCACACGCAAAGATAACGGAAACCCATAGTCGCAGCCATGAAATAAACATGCTTTGTGACATTAATAATTGTAGTAGATGTTCATTCAACATCTCGCAGAGCTTCGCACTGTCTCTGGTTTCTATTCAACCACAATTTTAAAATTCTACTGAATGTCAAAACCTAGACGTCTAAACTATTGTGATTGTATGTCGCGGTACAATCACGCTTATCGCACTCACGTCCTCCCAGGATTTCCCGGTAGTTCATGGTTTTCCGTCAATAGTTCCCATCGGACACGTCATTTGCTTCGAAAACCAGGTCAGTTACAGCTCTTCACAGCACGATTTCTTCGCTATGGTTCACAATTAGTGCGTGCACATGCATCAACTGGCGCATGCTTATCAAGCTGCATGATGATTTTCAAGCCTGTTAGACAATCCTTATCCCATCGAAGTAACAATGCTTCCAACTGCTCCTAATTTACATGAGAAGCTGCAGTACTAGATGTGTAGCATAAAGGAAATTTAACTTTAGCTGAGAATCCAGAGAGGACTCTCATTTTCCACATTGTGCAAAGAGATGTCTGATGAACAACCCACGTGGAGAATTATCTTGACTAGGGCGTAGATGTGGTTGGAGTCGTTTCGTTAGGAGTAGCTGCAACAGTTTTGCCTCCGCCACCCCCTCCACCACCACCGCCACCACCTGCACCAGCGCCAGGGCACCAACCTATGCAGATACCACCACCTCCTCCACCTCCTCCGCCTCCGCCTCCACCTGGTGGATTGTTGCGACCTCCATTATTGTTGCCTCCGCCTCCGCCTCCTGTGCACATACATTGGCAATGGATTAAAGGGAGCTGGCAGAGAACAGTCTTACCTGCCTTCAGTGACCTTTAAACACGAATAGGCAACGAAAAAAGTTCGTGTGAAGAGAGATTGGTGTCTATACCTCCGCCACCTCCTCCTCCTCTGTCCCTGCCTCTGCCCCTGCCTCTGTCGTCCCTCGGAGGATTCCACGGCGGGCGGTAAGGACCTCTGCCGCCACCCCTATTGCGATCCCCTCCTCCACCGCCTCCCCCCCCACCGCCTCCTCCTCCTCCCCCCCCACCGCCTCCTCCTCCTCCCCCCCCACCACCTCCTCCTCCTCCACCTCCTCCTCCTCCTCCACCTCCTCCTCCTCCTCCTCCTCCTCCACCTCCTCCCCCACCACCTCTCCCACCTCCTCCTCCCCCTCCTCCACCGGCAAGCATTCTCCCCTGCAAATGCACATCAGATTTGCTTCAGCTTCATATGAAAACAGACCTGCAGTCAGTTTTCTGTTGAAACCTTGGTCCACTCTGACCTTTCTCTCACCTGGAGCACTGCTCAATTTGATGCAGTGTTTCCAGGAGACTTGAGAGCAACTCCAAACACGACCTAGGAACGTTACTGCATGTAGTCATGATACCGAGTGTATTTCATTTCAGTGACACATTTATATGTAGTTGCTCATTCTGAATTTGAGCGACAGTATGCTTCCATGGTTCTTCAAATCGAGTGGACCATTCTTTGCTAATATCTACATACCTTAAGCCACAAAGAGAGTCCACCTGACTGATTGCAGTCAAATACTTACCTGAATGCTAATCTCATGATGTTCTTCTTCCTTCATCGGCAGGGCCCCCCCAGCAGAGTCAGGAACCGACACGACGAGCTCCTTATTCTTGCTAACTACAGCAGCCGTAACGTCTCCATCCAACAACCGTGCTTTCGCAACCCCGGCGAAACTTGCAGCCAAAAGTAACAGCACCACAACACAGTAAGGCCGAGACATCCTGACACAAGGCATTAGGCCTCTCGCCTCGATCGCCATTTCGAGATTTGAGATCCTTCACACCCGCAGAACCTTATATAATACCCCAGTGTCAACAGTTTCAAAAAAAGTCAGGAACGTAGCTTCCGATCACTAGGAAGGTGACGACGCGCCTGACGGGAGTGTAAGTTCAACCTCATATCCACATTGCGCCACGATTGCTTTCATATGCGAATCGATTGACTATTGAGGCGCGTCCACATGCGTGCATTAATGGCCGTGGGACCGGGCTCTGCTATCCCGCAGCGAGGTTTTCACATCCGCAAGTTGCGTCGATTGTCTCGTGCAATGATCCATCGGGGCTCATTATTACGATCACTTAGTAGAGTCAAGGGAAGCGAACAAAGTCCTCGGCCAAAACCACCTAACGCCTGTCAACGCCAGAGTCAATCGCTCCGCAACGTCGTTCCACGACGACCTCCACTAATAAAATATGCCGTAATAATCTGCTTCCACCGAACTTGAGAGGACAGAGGATAGAGGACGCTTCAACACGCGCAGTTTAACAAGCTCAGGAATGAGCTCCGTAAACAAGAGCGAACTTGAATTTGTCTTCGAGGGCGGGGCGATGTAACCGTAGATTCAACGGTCTGACGATGGCGATGGCCCGTGCAATCTGTGTGTGTGAAGCCACCATCGCTTGCTCTCCTCCGAAATCTCACACGATTGATACTAAAGGGATTCATTCCTTCGAACAGCAGCAACCTCGGCGACTCGTTTCCCATGTGATCCTTGTTTTCCGAAATGTGGCCTCAACACAAACTTAAAATGGCCACTAACTTAATAGAAAAAAAAAAAAAAAAAAAAAAAAAAAGACACTCCCGATTAAGTTAACATGAAAGTGCTGATTAAATGTCTAACTCAATTGGGATTTTTTTTTTTTTTTTTTTTTTTTTTTGTGTGTTAAATGTGTGGTATGAATGAAGGATTTTACATTGTTTTGCAGTGTTTATATATATATATATATATAATGAAATGATAAAGCGATCCAAATATTTACTAAATCAACTAACATGTTTAAACAATCAATATATCCTTTCAATCCCATTCCCAACCGTCACCTCCATTTCCAACCCCCCACCCTCATCCTTAGCAACAGTTGGAACAAAGAATGGCTAGGAATCAGGAAGGAGGCTGCAAAGGTGCAATGATGATAGAATGGATTGTTTTAGTAAAAATTTGGATCACTTTATCATTCCCTTATTTATATAAATATATATATATATATATAGAAGAATGTTAAAATGACCCACCTATTTACTAAATCAACCCATCCTATTGTAACCATGATTAGAAAAATGAATCATCACTAGAAACCATCATAACAATCAAGGCTCTCATCCCCACCTCTTCATTCCCAACCCTCACTCCCTTCATTCTTGGCCTTCTTTATCTTAATCCCTCGTTTCAGCTCTCATTCCAACCCCTCATTTCTCCTAGATCTCCACAGTAGGGTAGTAGGGTGGGTCAATTTAATAAATGGGTGGATTATTTTAATAATTTCTTTTATATATTTTTTTCTATATTTTATTTTTTTATATATTTTGGCATTTGGAATTGGACGGTGCCTTTACATTTAAGTTTGTTTGGCCATGTTTTAATACCTCAAAATATTTCAATACTAGTCATTAACATTAAACAATTGGCTTAGAAATTGGTGATGTTTGTTCAGCTACTTCAACTTGGAGCAGTGATGAAGTACTACTGCAACTTAATTTGGTGTCATCCATAATCTAATTGTTATTCACTTTTTATTAACAATGTCACAAGTGAGTGTGTTATTTATTAATTGATCTGTTTTTGTTTTAATAATTTAACATATGTGTGATTTTTTTAAAAGAAAGAAAATAACTAAATTTTACATTGTAACAAAATATTATAAAGTTATTGCAATCATTGTTTTTATAAATACCAAATTTACTAATAATTGTACATGTGCACATGCAAATTATAATCCAAAATATATTGTGATTTTGCACAAATCACCATTCTAAATCATTTCATATAATTACACTTTTACATGGTGTTTTTAAAGCCATTTATGATGTAACAATGGCATTTTTTTTTTTTTTTAACATTATTTTTTGCTATTAAGATTAAAGGCACTGTGTTATTTCTCAAGTTTAAAGAAGTTACAAGCAATAAAGTTTTAACATTAACCATGTGTTCTTTAAATATTTTTAGATATTATTATTATTATTATTATTATTATTACTATTATTTATAGATTTTATGGCAAAAACTCTTTCCTTTCCTTTAGAAACTTTAAAATCTTTTTCAAGCTATAAAAAGTTTACTTCATTAGAAAAAATCTTAGAATATTTTGAAATTCACTATATTTTTTGAATTGATTGTATATATATAGTGAATTTCAAAATATAGTGAATTTTCTATATATATATATATACTATAAAATGGATTATTTTCTATAAATACAACTGAAATCTTTTTGTTTTCATTTAATCATTGCACAAACATGAATTGATTATATGTTTTCTTACTTTAAGTAGGATGTTTGAATATTATGCTTCTAAAAACCGTCCGCATCAATATCGTCGAAGACAGGAGCTCAATTTGAAGACTTGGGAGAAACCGGCTCCAGAAACCCTAAATTTGTAAAACCTGGCAGGCTTCGATGGGTGACATGGTCGCGTGTGCAGGGTGATTGGTGCCAAGCTGCCGATCTCGACTGATGATGACGCAGACGGCGTCATTTGAGCTTTTGCAGGGGCAGCTCGCACAGATTGTGGGTCACACTCTGCAGCTGACCAACTTTTCGTGTACTGTTGTCAAATCATGGAGCTCATTGAGGCGTCCTCCTTATCTCAGTGCTGCAACGATATTAAGTCCACATCCTTACCAACCCCATATGAATCAACCTGGGTTGTTGTTACCCACATTGATAAAGCAAACGACTCGAACCGATGGAAAATCCATGCCTAGTTGCGACCAGGCTACGTCGACGATGTACCTCGAGAAACTAGTCTGGAATTCCTAATTTCGAGAATGTGATGTTAAACAAACTGCAGCTGGCGCTTTGCTTCTGTGCCATCTCCTCCTTGACAGTCTCTGAGCGCAATCAAGGCGAGTTATCTACCTGTAGCATGTGTGCTGCAGTTAGTGCAAAAGTCCAGTCACTTGACGCCTCGGGTGTGCAGTACACACAATATTGATGCGGACGCTTGTGTCCTGCGTCATTACCATGCGACGAGACGAGAGGACATCACGGGGGTCAGCCTGTCGATCTCATGAGGAGTCGTTACGACCTACCATCACTGCGCCTCATGAACACATTGATTTCGGCGAGCATGGCTGTTGGCCCCGTTACCTAGCAGGCGGGACCTTGCCTGCTAAAGCTGGAAGAAGAAAAATGGTGAAATGAGATTACCAAAGGAATTAGACTCGGCGAGACAATTTTGCTAAGAAATTTGGAGCGCTGGCCTGCTGGGCCGTTCCAGGATAGTAAATACGTACTTGTGTAGTGACTGGTGCTTGTGTTTGAATGAAAGTTAGTTTATAGTTTTTCAAAGTTACGATAGAGATTACTGCGGTAATGTAGTTTGAGCAGTCTGGGCAGCTACTACATCGATGCTTGCTTGCAGCCAGATAGTTCGTGTGGACGATGTTCTTGTGATTCTCATTGCGTTTTTCTCCAAGTCTTATACCAGCTCAACTTGCAACTATTGGTAGATAACAGAGCGATCCCTTGAGACAAGGGAATTGACAGATAAGACCATTTGATGGCAGCGCATCAGGCTCTGCTAGCGAATCTTACAGTGGCTGTGGAGGCTGGACAAGATACACAGCAGATTTAGAGGTTTCATTGGCAGCATATGCCACAGCCCTAGTTGTGAGAATACAGCTGGATTCTCAGACACCGCAGGGTCTCCGCACACACTTTTCAACGCCGTGACTTGGATCGCAAACATGTGGCCGTCTCTCCGAAACCTACACCAATTGACAGCAAGCAAAGTGGGTAGTTCTAATCGTGACGGCTTTCTGACAGGATTAAAGCCGCTTGCTCTACATGTGGCCGACTCTTTTCCTTTCAAGCTTATATTATTCTCTATGTCTGAGCTGGAAGTATCACCACGCGTAGTTAGCAGGTGCAGGAGGGAGGCGATTGATTCTCGTGCATCACGATGTTGAAATCGCTTTGCTCCACCTCCTCGACGAAAAACGACAGATGGTGCCACAGGTGCACCGCTTCAAAATTATTCATGTAACAGTCTTTTGGTGTGCCACTCTATCTGTGGGTTTAATCCTCTTTCCATAACTGTCCCTCAATCTGGTAAGCTGGGTTAGTAAGTCTAACTTGGGTTTCTTAATGCCAGTTATTCTTATTTTCTTCATCGATTCAAGTGGGAGAGAACGGAAGAATTAACACACATAAGTAAACTCTGACCACCGGCAGAGCTGCTGTTCTCACGACCTTGAAGCGATTGCGGCCAAAAGATCCGCCGTTCTAGATTCAGCCCCATGAACTTCTCTTGAATAATTAGTTGGTGAAACAATGGCAGATTTGGTGTAGTACTGATTAGCTTGAGAAGGATATTCATGAAAGGGTAGATGAACATCAGGAAAGTGTGGGAAGTAAACCCTAATTCTGCCCCATTTCATGCCATGGCAGGGCCGTCATCACATTCATCTCTGCTCTGTGAAGATGTTGATTCTTTTTTATTGCCTCCTTAAAACAGATCCTCGCTACTTTGTGGAGTTTAGTAGAGTAATTCCAAGACCAGTCTCATGAATGAATAATGCACAATAGATTTTTTTATCTATTTTGGGTTCAATTTGGATGGAGGATTTAGGCACTCGTGAGTCTTGTCCGAGTGAAAAGGTAGCTTTATTGGCACAGTTTTTTATTTCAAACCTTTAGTATGATATTCACACAAATTCATTTTGGGATTCAATTTAGTTTGATTCACAATGTCTTTTGCAACATTGTGTTCTTTATTTGGTTATCTTTCTTTGGGAAGTAGCCATCATCCTTGGGTAATTGATATAATAGGTATTTTTCATACACTTGAGGTTATTGAGATACCTGGTATGTACTAATTAATGCTTGATACCTTCACGTGCGGGCAGGAACTGATGGCAAAACAACAAAGACTGATAAACCAATAAGAATACAAATCTTCCCTCACAAAATTAAGAATGCTACACTCATCACGTACAATTCAGCATGTTCACCTAATTAGCCATGTAGCATTCCCCAGCACTTCATTGCGGAATCCCTACGTAGCATAAAAACCTGAAAATTCAAACTTCGAATGACTATCCTAGTACATGTATATGAATGCACAACAAAGGTGGCTGGTGCCTGGTGGCTCATCAGTTGAGTTGAAGCCACTTGGGATTGGACAAATGCAACTGAAGCAATAGAAGATGAATTTACACGTTCTGTTGGTACTAAGTTTATCAGAAGTGCCGACGTTGTGTACTCTTCACTTCCTGAGAAAGAAAATAAACAGAAATACTGCATCTGCGTCCTGGTGAAGAGCCTGCTCCTAATCAGACGCTCGGTAGATGTACCGAACGAGTGCGAGGAACAGGAATACACAAAATCACTTGATTTAGCAAAAAAATCTTCAATGCCATCAAGAGCGGATTTGTTACTAAAAGAGCAATAAAGCTCAAGGGATGGGGGAACTATGTGTACGTCGGAGCCGGTTCCTCGTCTTGAAATCGGGAGGAGGCCTCGGCAGGAGTAGTACAGCTGCAATTGCGCCCAACAGTGCGGATCCTGCACCGAGTAAAAAGGCAGGCATGTTGCCGCCATTGAAAAGCTCGTCCCAAGGTCCACTTCCTACTGACACAATAACCTGAGGCGTGACGACTGCGAGATTCAATACACCCACAGACAAGCCTTGACCACCTCCTACTTTCTCCGTGTATGTCGCTGTCAACGCGTATGGAACAGAGTATGTCACAGCAAGCGGGGCTCCCAGAACTGCGAAGATGACGAGAGCAGAGGTGACAACCCACGTTGATGGTCCTTCGCCGGCGGCCAGTGCACTTTTGGCCGCATGAGTCACCAAATAAGTTCCCACGAAGCACACTGTCATGATCATGTTTGCAATACCCCATACATAGCTTGACCCCAATTTCCTGCAGACGAACTCGATGCACAAGGAGGACAGACCCAAGACGACGGAGTTGAGCATCAGCCCGAGCGATCCCATGTGCACACCATCGTAGTACCACTTGCTCTTAAGTGGATCCGAGGGCTCCCCGCCATACACTTCACGGCCCATCCAGTCGGTATCGAAGAGGAGAAAAGGGAACCACGCAATCCAGGTGAGCGCGGTGACAAGAAGAATGTACCACATTGGTCGTGGAAGATCCCTCAGAGCTCCCACTAACTCCGTGAACAGCGCTTCCGATTCCTGTTCTTCATCCTCATCATCGTCTTCCTCCTCGTTTGCGCCTGTCACACTGGACGAGCTCTCATTGGACTTGTCTGACAAGAGAGGGGTCACAGCCTTCACCACCGAGTGCTTCTTCTTGATAGGGTCATATGGAACCTCGGGAGCTGCCGTAACACTCAAGAAGGTGGTCGTCGCCAACATGATTACCCCCAGCAGGAATGCAGACTTGAGATTTGCACAGGCGACGTCACATGCCTTCGTGTGCGTGAAACTGAAAATCTTCCACCATCCATCATAAGCTCCAGTCGCGAATCCCAGGATGTTTCCCAGGGCCATGAACAATGAGAAGAAGGCATTGGCTCTGCGGTTCCTAGTCTGGTCTTTACCTGTAAAATCAGCTAGCAAAGCCCTGCAAGGACCCTGGAGCGTATTGTTGGCCAGGTCCAGCACCCAGAAGCCTACCACGAAAATCACAATCGCACGAGGACGGGCGTCCAAAGTATCACCTAACAGGTAACCCAGATCGGCAGAAAACCCTATGATGAGAACCGCGATAACCACGAGAGCTGCCCCACCGAGGATGAAAGGCCGTCTCCTTCCGAATGAGCTTGTACAACTATCACTGTAGTGACCAACGATGGGCTGGACGAACATGCCAGAAATGGGCCCGCACAGCCAGATCAAACTGGCCCATGCATGAGGAATTCCAAGCTCTTGCACGTATGGAGTAAGTAGCGAGAGTTGTAGGGCCCATCCAAACTGAACCCCAGCGGCAACACTTGCAACCTGAATCAGTGCCCGAATTGGAACTCGATTCTTCCTCTTGCCCTTACTCGAATCCATCTTTTGCACTCGGGGATGACCTTCCAAGCTTGTTACAAATGATCACAAACTACCTGCAGTACAACACTATCTTAAGTCATTCAATTTAAAGAAAGCACAATATGATAAATTAAGAGTAACCACAAAGACATTCATGAACATGTCCTTGCGGATTGCATGGTGTCAAGATGCTGCTGTTTTTATCCCAATCATCAACTTAGACTTTCGTTCAAAGAGACCAAGATATCTTCGGGTTTTCAAATCGTTGCACCAAGATTCACCATCATTAATATAAACCTCCTCATTATGAACTATATGTGAGCGAACAGATTTAATGATTCTAGGAGTACAGAAACCTACATTGCAAATCGTTTTCTTATAACGACCAACCAAAAATCGTTCAAAATACGTTACATATGAAGCTCCACAATCAAACATAAGGAAGATGCATCATTAATCAGGGGAATGTTCAACAGGAATTGAAGACGATACAGAAATTTAAGATAAGTGTGAGTAACTTTAGTACATTATCCAGTTCCAAGTACAACTCAATTGAAATGGCACCTAGAATTTTACGATGAGAACAATGACGGACGGTGAAGATTTGTAAGGATCATGAAATGTTGGCCACATCTTTGGCCAAACTAAGTCCAAAATCCCACCCAAGCAGAGAGAAGAAGAAGGTAATAAATAAATAGATAAATAAAAACAGCAAAACTACTTCAATGACAAGAACTAGAGCCCAAAAAGTAAGGTGTGAGCGGCCACAGAATCAAGCAAAACGAACGAGCGACTAAAACTAGTCAGGTCCGCAGAATTCACGTTTGCAGTTTGAATCTATACTAGGGCATTGTTGCATCCATGAAACAGGGCCAATCATTCACAACCTGACTGGTGCCTCATTGCGAACACGGCCTACTATCCTACGCAAGACCACTAGTAATCCATTGGAATCATATAGCAAGCAAAAATTAATTATACGCAAACACTCCACACTCCACACCAAAAGTACCACGAAATCACAGTCACACCTGTAGGTTACCAAAAGGCTGTTAACGAAGCTCACTGAATTCGCACAGGCAAAGACCCACCTAACCAACCACCCAAAACATGAAACCACACAAAAGTACATAACTAGACACAACTACACAGAGGTACACTAACTAGAAGCTGTTTTTAACTGTCATACACCACAAATACGAAACTAAAAAACTTCCCAGAAGCCATTCCAAAAGAAACAGAAAGAGAGAAACATGACACAAAATCACCGTAGCAGCAAGTGCACAGAAGCTCAGTTTCCACCTCATCTCCAGGCCAAGCTGCGCGCAGACGACGACCCACCAGCCTCTCCCGCCGCAACAAGAGAAGTAAAAACTACCCCCGCCCACCAGGACGTTATACCACAGAGATCTTCGTCTCCTGCCAGAGAAAGCAAGAAGACCATGGATTCATATTCCTGAGCAAGGAGAGCAGTTCACGAGGTCTGGAGTGCGGCGCTAGCAGATGGGACGGATGCTTTCCCCGGTGGGCTGACGGAATCTGCTGCTATGCTGCTGCGACATCTGTCGACAATGCATCGCTCGGAACCCACACGGCAGAATTCGCGCTGTCACCGAGACTGGGCACTCCACAATTGGCTGCCGATGGATCTCCCCCCCGCGACGGGCTTCTTCACGACCGTCCAGTGCGCGCGACGAGCTGAATTGGAAAACGCCTGTTCTCGGCCGCGTCCAGTCGCGTCATTCGGCGTCTCTTTAGTGCCGTGGCTTCTCCTCCAGCGTCCCCGCATGCAGACGAGCTGTTGCAATGTTCCCGGTGTGGTTCCCTTGCTGGGGAGCTCGCGGTTCCCGAGGGGTGGAATCCGACGTGGATGCTGACTCGGACGTTGTGCCTCATGTTCCCGCTAGGGTTTCTCATGTCCCCACCCACTCTAGTCTGATGGATCTTTCTATGTTTTGGAAGATTCTCCCACGTGAGTTTTTTTTTGTTTTTGTTTCTTTGTTTGTTTTAATAATTCTTTTGACTGTCATCTTCATGCAGGAAAAAAGATCATAATTCTGGGGAGTGATTCATGCAACCATCATCTTTTATTTAGAGTTTCATATTATTTAGAGTTTCACATCATTTAAAAATATATGAAACTCTAAAAAAAAAACTGCTTTGGAATTCATGGGATAGGCACAGTTTGCTATGTGGTGACATGGTTGAGGATTAGGGCTCGAAGCCACAATCACAACCACCAATCTGCTTTGGTAGCCCAAAAGAATAAAAAATAAAATAAAATAAAAAAACATGTTTATTATTAATGATCTAATAGATTGAAGTAACAGAGTCCTTGAAGTTCTTGGGTTTAGGGCCTCCATGCAGTTCTGAAAAGGGTTTAATTTTCTCCATAAGTTTTGGTACAGTTTAGGGCTTCCTTGAAGTTCTCCTAGGGTGGAAATCCCAAAACATTTTCATTTTTTGTTTGTTAGCAATGAACTTTAAAGTGGCACATTTTTCAGATAATAGTGCAAAAGAGCATAAGCAAGAAGTAGAGGAATGAAGGCTTGAAAAAGCAAATGTGAAAAACAAAAAAAAATTATTCATGTTTACAAGTGTTCAGCACAAATGACCATAGAACAACATTCAAAAGTATCATAATTTAAAAGAAAATTCATGTTCCTGAAGAGACGAAAAAATGGTAATTTATGGATTACACTAGTTGAAATATAATGAAAGTTTGTCCAACGTCTTAAAATTGGAAACTATTTGTTAAGTGTCAACATATTTGACTCTTACATTTCTATTTAATTAACTATTTGTTACTTCATTGAAAAATGTTAGTCATTAGTAAATAATGCTTTTTTCAAAGTTTTATTTTCTTTTCTTTTTCTTTTTCCAAAAGAGACCAAACCCAGGGTTTGCTTGGACAGCAGAACTTCTATATACATATCTATGTATATTATTTTATTTTCTTTATTATCTGTATAGATAAAAAGTTGTAAGACTCTCAATTCATCAATGACAGCCTGTGAGCTATACTTGTAGAAAAGCTCAAACACCATTATGTATCTACTTTCTATTATAAGATTTCGTATAAAGATAAAAAGTAAAGAAGACCAACAATAACAAAAAACAAGATCAACCAACAAAGTTACAAAGTTTGGCTCTAGAAATCATTACCAGGTTCAACTTAATATGAATGGTTTGTTGTGGACTTCATTTGAGTAGAAATTCCTATTAGTATAGATAAAATAAAACAAAAGAGAAAATCAATATTGAATTAATTACATCTTCTTTTTGGACCCTAGTTGTTTCCGGTCAATGTTTTTTAGCACCCAATTATCAAGGACATGTGATAACAAGCAATCTTCGATGCATTTTATTTTCCAAATTCATTTTTGTTTTTGAATAGCAGGATGTAGACTTGCCATAATCTCATTGAACAAGTGGGCAAATAAAAATGGAATTGCTCCACATATACAAAAAATGGTGCTTTTCTTGATAAAAAGCTTGAGAATATCCGAATGCAACAGTGCAAGTCCTCTAAAGTTTGCATCATTGGTTCAAGAACTTTTTTCAATGAGTTGTTCAATCCAATTCTTTTAGGGCTTGATGAAGTGATTCCATTACGACAAAGTTGCTGTCATTCTAGTGATTAGCATGATGGTACGATTGCAAACCTCTTGAAGAGTATTTTATATAGTAGTCAAGATTATGCCAAAACAAAGTCAAAGACAACTGTAATTATTTAGTTACAATTTAACTCCCTACCAATAAACACGAAAGAAAATACATATATATATATATATATATATATAATATTAATTGTAAAACAAATAAATACTCCTTCATTGAAAGGCTTTAAAGCGCATTATGTGATCTTGTTATTAAGTGTTTTTGTGGAGTTCTGATAATTAGTACAAGACTGCCAACATTAGACGTGTTTTCTTTTATTTTCTTTTCTTTATATGTATATATATATATATATATATTTATATAGGTAAAATTTTTATAATCTATCATATTTCTTCTGGGACGGTTTCATTTGTTGAATAGAGTGAAATATATTTTACAGTGGAATTCTCCCCCGCCCCTCATAACGGCTTCTTAATTTACATATATTTTTATAGTATTGAAGTACTGGGGCACCCCGCCTTGTCTTTTACCGTGGTGGTACTGGATCCATAAAGTTACCACCCCACCATTTTCAGCCAGAGATCGGAAGTTCGAATCCCCGCGACCACGTGGCCTCCTACTGACCTCCACTCTATATTCCTCGCTGCTACGCCCTCCATCTTGCACGTGTTCCCTTCGTAAAGGTCTGAGTTATATTCCTCCAGTACATTCAGTATTAAGGGATCTCAAAGAATAATTTACTAAGCATCGAATGTCAGTGGATGTTACAAAGATATTCTCCATCGAAAAGCGGGATGAAAATGGATGCTAATGTATCATGAAAGTGTGCCAACCCTTCTGGATGCTTAGTATACTTTAAGTTTACCACCAGAAGGTCCCTTTGAAAGTATGGGGAATGTTATGGAGCTTGATCCACCAATTCCACTCACTGGTACCCTGCTGCTTGAGATAACAGTTACTGGGATTTTTCAACAATAAACAGCTCTTGATGCTTCTTTGAAAAACATTCCACACTTGCAGTTTTGGCTTGCAAGCCAATGTGGGCACACATGATGTTTGATTGGAGTGTAGAATTGAATGACAAATGTGTGGCAGACCAAGGATGCATTGCTTTGAAACCCATCTTGAATGTGTGGATGATATTGCTTTTTAGGGCGCCTTTCTAGGGACTTCCCTCCACAAATATGTAAAACACTCTTAAGTTGACTTGCACGTATTGTGGTACTTACTTTGACTTTACATGATGTGATGGTATGGATAGTTTAGCAAGTTCATACAAAATATCTTAGTTTTGTTAATCTAGTTTTCAACAATCTTAGGATTCTACAAAACTTATAGATGCTTTCATTAAGTTTACCACCAGTTTAGTATTAGATTTTGAATAATAGACAAATATACAAACATATGTTGCTTCAAATTCCACCAACAATTAATGGGTTTAAAATGGTTGCAGTATTACAAACTTTTTAATTTTAGAAAGACATTGTTGAATTAAAAGAATAGTTATCTTTAGTTAACATATTTAACATTTAAAAAACTTTAATTAATTCTATTCAAGCAAAGTATTATAAGAAAGTTTTACCTATAGAATTTACAAGAAATGATATTCATTTGATTTGATTTTTAATTTAATTGTAATATAAAAAACAAATTTTTAATAAAGAAATTAGATTCTTTAAAGATTTCTACTTAAATAATATTTAAAAAATATAGTAATAGAATCCTATTGATATACAACAAACAACACAACTCAAAAAAATTAGTGGAAGTGGTTTAAATTATTTTAAATGATGTGATTAAATAACATTATTTCTACATTTAAAATAATTGAAAAGAAATTTTAAATAGTATCATATTAAGAAAGTTATAAATCCAAGATACATAATTTACTCATATAAACAACAATAAAATAATTACATTTTATGTAATTATAATAGTCTAAGAACAACAAAAAAAAAAAATCCAATCCAAAAGCAATAGTCAAGTCTTATAAAAAATAAAATAAAATGATATCTATTACAAGGTCCAATTAAAAATATCACAAAATTTTAAATATTAATCTCAAAAAATCATAAGTAAAGAGCTTGTAATTTAAGATTCTAAGATTAGATCTTAAATAAGATTTTATTCAAGCCATTTAGTAAAAAAATAAGAAAATAAAATAATAAAAGTTCAACAACAAAAATACTCTATATGGATTGCAAATTAAAAAATAAATAATAAAAAACTTAGAAATAAATTACAATCAAAAGTAAATTGAGTATCATTTGAAATTTTTTTAATTACTATAAGAAATCTTACTTGGTTCTTATAAAAAATCTAAAAGACCAAAATAGACTAAAATTAAATACATCAATTGTAGATTCTATCTTAAAAATAGATATTTTAATCAACACTCTTCTATGTAGATTAATAAAGAAAGCAATATTTTTTTAAGCAATTGTCATAGACATACATATTTACTTAGATAAAAAAATTAGATAGAAGTAAATAAAAATAAATTTGATAATATCTTATTCAAAAGAATCTTAAAAGCTTCATAGATGCAGATTTGACTTTATATTTGTTTGTAGGTAATTAGTAGGTTAAAAATTAGGCTAAGAAGTTGGCTACATATTGCACATGTTGATGATTTATAAAACAAGTTGGTCATGTGGCACACATATAAGAAACTTGATTTATACCTTAGACATATATCTTGCAAGTTGGACACATATTAGAGGTCCATAGAATGTTGTGACATAGCTCCTAATTAGATAGTATATAAAGAGATAAAAGCGAGGCATTCTTCACTCTTATCAATACCTTTCTTATTTTTAGTCTTCTTTCAAGAATCTCTAGTCTTCTTATCTTTGGCAATATCCATTCTAGTTTTAATATTATACTATTTTCGAGTGAATATTTACTCTCTTCAAATGACACTAGAGTACATTGTCATTTTAATTATTTGTGATTTATATTCTTTATATATATATATATATATTTAAATTTTAT